TTTTCAAAAAAAGATAAAACTAATCTCTTATAATGCACCTATTGAAAGAATCTAAGCCGTGTATTCCACATTTGTGGGAATATGTCCTAACCCACCGTCCATAATCATCTAGTGCATAAAATGATGTTGATTTCTCCTCTAAATCAACATGAAAAATGTTGATCGTGAACCAAACTCAAAAATTCTCAAAACTACCAAAATTTGTCTACCATTGAGCAACAATTACCCATCTATTGGTCCAGTGAAAAGGTTATTGAACTGTAGAGTTTTTGGCTGTCTCTAACTTTCAAGCACAGTTTTAGGATTTTGAGATTTGTTATTGAAATGTTTTCCCTAGAAAAAGTTCCTGGTATACAGCATGATGAAGTGAAATATAAAATCTATAATTTTCCACGTTAAAGATAATTTTTTTTTAGTCAATTTTAATGTTAAAGTATATAAAAAGTGTAACATTCTTTTTAGTTATTTGGATCAAAAATAAATATTAAATAAATATTTAATAAAGGGCATATCCATCACAATTAGTTTGCAAAGTTTAGTATTCCTAATAAGGAAGCCCAGCGCTCCCTGCATTGGTAGCCTATGTATAATTGACTAAGCAGGCGGTCTTGTCTCTGCTAGGAGAGAGGAGGTGTGTGTGTGTGTGTCTGTGTGTCTGTGTGTGTGTGTGTGTCTGTCTGTGTGTGTCTGTCTGTCTGTGTGTGTGTCTGTGTCAGTGTGTGTGGGTGTCTGTGTCAGTGTGTGTGTCTGACGATGTGCGTGGCACGTAACGCGTAAGGAGGAGCCTGCTCGCGCCGTTGACGTCACGCCGTCGGAGCATCGTGGAGCTCCAGCGGCCATTTCCTTCTAGGGACGGTTAGTGTTTATGTTGCTATCTGCCGTTCCTATTGATGTCCATTGGATGCATCCTTTGTTCTCTCAATAAAATTCACTTTATTCAAACTTTATCTCACTATGGGCACCTTTTTGCTTTAACCCCGCATGGGGAGTTTTTTTTTTTCCAGAAGCTGTGTTACTCCGAATCCATCCAGAGAGGGAGGTTCCTACTACTGTAAGAGCAACACCCATACATCCCTTAAGGGGAACTCTGAGTCGGAGCCTAAATTGTTGTGATCCTGGACCTGCTTGATCTAGAGAGGGATATTCTTCCAAGGGCTGAACCAGATGTACACTTCCAGTGACACCAGGGAATAATATTCATACACTGCACTGTACCAAGTGTAGTTCCGGTGAGTGGGCATTTCTTCCATTCTTAATTGAGGAACATCCACTGATCGGGAATTACTGAGGACTTTTAATTTAAGCGCTGCACTGTTTCTTTGATACAGTGTGTGTGTGTGTGTCTGTGTCAGTGTGTGTGTGTCTGTCTGTGTCTATGTGTGTGTGTGTGTCTGTGTCAGTGTGTGTCTGTGTCAGTGTGTGTTTCATTGTGTGTGTGTGTGTGTGTGTGTGTGTGTGTGTTTGTGTCTGTGTTTGTGTTTTTGTGTGTGTGTGTCTGTCTGTGTCTATGTGTGTGTGTGTCTGTCTGTGTGTGTGGGGGGGGTGTCTGTGTCAGTGTGTGTGTGTGTGTGTCTGTGTCTGTGTTCCTTTGAGTTATTCAGTAATCTATGTGATCTGATATCTCTTGTTTTTCAGATCTGTTTCGCAGCACACCTGTAGAAGAAACCTGCAGAGAAGCAGGTGATTTCATTTGCAGAAGTAATGAAAATTAAATATTCATACGTAATATTTGATGTATATTTGTTTAAATAAGGACGCAACTATTTTTATTCTTTTTAAGACCAAATAAATACTAAATTATTAAAGAATATGCATACAATTATGAATTTTTTTATCATTCATCAAGTAACATTTTAGAGAGAGACAGTATTTCTAAAATATTATTTCTGCAGTGTACTGTATATGGGTTAACCAGGACGCCGCAGTCCTCTGCGTCAGTATTTAGCTTTGATATACAAGCGATAAAATGTCCCTGGAAATGACTAGGGGGGGAGAGGGACTCGGATGGAGTCAGGGTATAGATTTTATATGTGAACAAAGCACGGAGAACATTTCTATATTTGGTAATTATAACATGGCTGAAATTTCTTGTTCATAAAATATGCACAAGCTTTTGATGTATATGACATTAACAATGCATTAACTTTTTGGTTATAATTAAAATTCCTTTGCACTATGCAAAAATATGCAGTACACAGGATTTAAATGATTTGCAGGCTGAGCAGCTGTATTTAATTTGTTGCATGTATTTCGATTTTATGTAAGCTGTTAATGTCTTGTTTAATATACTTGTGATTTACAAGGCACGGGCTCCCTCTTGTGCCTGGAAGGAAATACTACAAAGTCAAGGGAGCGCGCAGTATATAGTATACAGTAAAAGCCGTATATAACTTCACTCATACTGAAATATTTGGTTTGATGAAATATTTTGTTTACTCTACCAGGATGTGTGAGGAATGAATCCTATACCGTAAGGATTCTGCACTCTAATTTTCTTTATTAATATACAAAGTTTATATAAACTGGATACATTCAGCAATGAATGTGTACATTAAAGTGGTTCTTCACCCTCCTCGGCCACTGTCTGCTTACTCATTCTTTACATCTCCCACTCAGAATAACAAACTGCTCTTTTTTATTTTTTTAATCACCTTTTTCAGGGAATTCTCCCATTACTTCCCATGTTCTAGCCTAGATGAGAATGATGTGTTACTTCCTGCAGCTTCCTGGGATACTCATGTCATGCATCCAAGGAGAGTATTGCATTGTGTATTATGGATGTCATAAGGAGGCTAGCTATCCTCTTGCTACTTTCAGTCAGCCCCCAGATGATGGTGCATGTGCACCATCAGGATATTGGTTTCAAGAACCCTGAAGATACCTCTGATTGCTTGATGGTGTCACAGATGAAGATGGTGGAATGGGACCTTGTGTGCCGCAGCAATGCAAACCAGGACTGAAGTCAGTTGGTGAAGTTTTACTCTGTTTTAATCAGCCCTTTGTTTACAGATATCAGTAGCTCAAGCTGCAATTTGAATGGGCTGTCTAACACACCAAAAAAGGTGCATGCACAATTTTTGTATCACAGGGCACTACAATGCATGCTAATGCATTAAGATACATGGTGGTGATCTGAAACACAGATGCTTTGGTAAGATGGGTTGGGTTCCTTTAAGAAAAAAATGGCAAAACAACACGTTCAGGCATTTCTGCAGCACAACAGTGCTCAATGGCTATAGTCTTTCTTCCTTGTAGAGTCCCAAAATTCATCATGCTTTTATCTACAATGTCAGTACTTGGCCTCTATTACCACTGCATCTGTGTTGGAAGAACAAGGACATCAATTACCGTGATGGGTCAATACTGATAGAGAGCTACACACTGGCACCAGGTTATGCTTGCCACATTATTCAACTACCAGATTAGTAAATTTATTTCAGGCTAATAATCTATCATCAACCACCTTCCAGAAAGCTGTGGCCATACTGCACAGCTGCTACATTGAAATAATAATCTGATGCAGCCTTTCTCAAACTTTTTACCCTAAATTAACCTTCTTAATATAATTTTCAGGTCTTAGGATACCCTTGCAAAAAAGAAAAAAAAAAGGCTTTGTTGGTGGTCAGTGGGAAAAAATGCTCCCCACATTGGTGGCTAGTGGGCAGAATGCCCCCCTTACAGTGGTGGTTATAATGCCACCCTTGCAGACAGCTAAAAAGATCATTGGGTTGATGTAGCTGGCTTTGCCAAGTGGTGTGGACCCCGAAACTATGCAGGCATTATCAAATGGGAAGTCAAAGAGCCACAGCTAAAGAAACTTCTGGAGGAACCCTAGGGTTCAGTGGTTGAAAATGGCTGATCTGGTGTACTGAGAAGTTACATGACCTCTACAGTAATACCTGGTATGAATGTTTGTAGCTCTCTGTGGTCATGGAACTCTGTAGTGTCCTAAAAGCCTTATGGTTCACTGTTAGGATAGTAATATCCTGCATACTACTATTTTCAAGACGTAATAATCATTTTACTTTGCTTATTTTTCAACCTAATGTGAAAACATGAAGGCAATGTCCAGCATCCATCACAAGCAATTCCTATCAGAATCCTTCAATTCCCTATTTATGTGAGTAGTTATTTTATCTTTGAGCAATATTTCTGCCATGGTCAGCCAACGTTAGATTTACATTGGCACCATTTCATAACTCCGTATTTCTTACAAGGATCATCAAAAGAAGAACAAAGTTGACCACCCTTTGGCCTATTACTGCTAATAAACTGAAGCCTTCATTTACCAAGACCATTGGGGAGATGGAAAACGCTAGAAGAGGCCAAAAACTCAGTATTATTACCTCAGGCTAACACATTCATGTAGGATGTTGAGGATGCTGAGATGTCAAAACAGAATGCTTATTAAACTGCAATGTGATTTATTGAACCAATAGATCAACATTGAAAGAGAGCATACTTATATGACCTCATCTGGCTACTTCATATATTGGATCACTCTGGGGCTGCGCAGACTGCCATGCACATCTATGGCCAATATTTTAAGCAGCACGCTATTATCGCTTTAAATATTCAGCACACATAAAACTGATATTTCACGTATATTTGGAGTTTAGTATATGTCACCTCTTGACTTCTGCTGGGTGGCTCTCTACAAGATTAGGTGACTTTGCTTTCACCCTCATCTATCTAAAGTGAGATATCTAATAACTTGATGAAATGAGTTCATTGTCTTGAACACTACTCATTCTCCAGGTTGCGTGTCCACTGTATAGTATTTCTTTCAACAGCTCTTTGGCAAAGATGCTAACTGCTACAAGATTGGATCATAAAACCAGAATAGAGAAAGCTTGAGGTATATGGAGCTGTTGTCAATAATGAATAGATTTCTTGTTCTTTTTAAACACAATTTCATTCCTTCACTAGATGGCTCCAGTGGGTGTTTTGCTCACCTTTATATACACTATATTGGGACACCCATAAAGCACCTAGGCATGGCTTCAACAAACATTTGTGAAAGAATGGGTCTCAAGAGCTCAGTGAATTCAAGCGTGGTACTGGGGTAGGTTGCCACCTGTGCAATAAGTCCATCCGTGAAATTTCCTTGCTACTAAATATTCCACAGTCAACTGTTAGTGGTATTATAACAAAGTGGAAGCAACTGGGAACAACAGCAACTCAAAGTGGTGGGCCACGTAAAATGACAGAGCGGGGTCAGCACATGCTGAAGTGCACAGAAGTCGCCAACTGTCTGCAGAGTCAATAGCTAAAGACAAATAACTTCATGTGTCCTTCAGATTAGCACAACAGTGTGTAAAGAGCTTCATGGAATGGGTTTCCATGGCTGAGCAGCTGCATCCAAGCCTTACATCACCAAGTGCAATGCAAAGCGTCGGATGCAGTGGTGTAAAGCACGCCACCACTGGACTCTAGAGCAGTGGAGACGTGTTCTCCAGAGTGATGAATCACGCTTCTCTCTCTGGTAATCTAATGGATGTGCTGGGTTTGGCGGTTTCCAGAACAGTACTTGCCTGACCGCATTGTGCCGAGTGTACAGTTTGGTGGAGGGGGGATTATGGTGCGGGGTTGTTTTTCAGGGGTTGGGCTTGGCCCCTTAGTTCCAGTGAAGAGAACTCTTAAAGGCGTCAGCATACCAAGACATTGTGGACAATTTCATGCTCCCAATTTTGTGGGAACAGTTGGGGATGCCCCCTCCTGTTCTAACATGACTGCGCACCAGTGCACAAAGCAAGGTCCATACAGTCATGGATGAGTGAGTCTGGGGTGGAGGAACTTGACTGCCCTGCACAGAGTCCTGTCCTCAACCCAACAGAACACCTTTGGGATGAATTAGACTGGAGACTGTGAGCCAGGCCTTCTCATCCGACATCAGTGTCTGACCTCACAAATGCGCTTCTGGAAGAATGGTCAAACATTCCCATAGACACAGGCATCCCAATACTTTGGGCAATATAGTGTATGTTCTGTTGCACCGATTGCGGATTACTTTGTCTTCATCTTCAGAGGTGTAGTAGAGAGTTCCACTTGTGTTAGAAAACCCTTAAAAATTTTAAATTATTTTCAATAAATCTTTATTTAACAAATAAATATCTATTGCAAGGTACTTTCATTTCACTGCTTGAAAAGCATGCTGGGCTTTCTAAAAAAAGAAAGCCCAGCAGTACCTGAATGCTTTCTGTAATTCTGTGTTAATTCATTAGTTAAGATACTGCTTGAAGGATAAAAATGATTGTCCGTTTGTCATTTCAGCGACGGACCTTTCCATACAAATGTATGGAGATTGGGACATGAATGCACAGGCAAGGAAGAGCCTGGCTTTGAGACTTGTGAAGAGGAGGCTGCATATCAAAGGTTTTGGAGGAACAAGTCACTGATTAGTTTAATACTTGGGAAAGGTGGGGGGGGGGGGGGTCATAAAGACAAGCAAATAATTACACATTTGAAGTACATGAAAATTGTTACTAACAAAGGATTTGAAATTCTGTATCGCAAGCCTTGTGATCCAGGCACCCTTATCTGACAGCACAGCCTGAATCTCAGACTCCATTGAAGCACCACAGCTTGGTCAAGAAGATGCCTCCTGCCCATTGACTGGACAGTGCAGGAGAAGTACAACGTTAAAGCCATCATTCAACTCACTATGTTCTCACCTTCGGTCAGCACATTCTGCACGGTATCAGAGCCTGATTGGCTCCTAGTGTTGCCCATCTCTCTCCCAGATTGAATGCGGCTATACATGTGATAATAACAGACTTCAAGTACACTCATTGCATTTCCAAATACATTTAACGATTTTTAAGGAATAATAATGAAAATTGCATTAATTGATATTTTTACCAATCAAAGTCCAAAAGTTTAGACTAAAGTTCTGTATAAATTCCTCCTTTCATCACAATAAAGACCTTTTTTTGGTTCTCTATCTACAGCAATAACAGAACTGTTCATTTTTAAGACCGCTATCCAAAAATGAATTTTTGTGCAAAGCACTGGTGCAGAAAGCTTAAATTCCAAGGAGACTATCTTGCTGAGCCCCTGGTATGAAACCATTATTAAATTTAACCTGTGTTTACTTTATAACTACTAAACCAGGAGGTACAGAAAGAAGAGAACCAGAAGTGTATTCATGTACAGGAATATATCTCTTGAGGGGCCCAGGAACCCCAAAACTCAGGGCCATCTATAGTGCCCATACTGACAAAGTGCTTTATCATGCCAATCTCAACTATCTACTAGCTCAGCCTGGGCCCTACTGCTCCTCACTGTTGGTCAATGACATTACCCATCATAGCCATGGAGGATGAGGTCAGTATTTGCACAATAGAGAGGCTCCCAGGTTTGAAGCCTCCTGAGGCAACTAGCATTTTCAGAAGATTAGTGATGGTAGCCCCCATGTCTCTCACCTTTACTGAGTTTAGCCAAAAACATTCCCAAGCATTATAATGTCCTCTATACATTACTATGCAAAGCTTCATTTTAATAAGAATGCTTTCTTTTTCAGGTGCTCATTTCATTGTCCTTCCCCTCTCCATCCTGCAGATCACAAACAAGTACATGGCTTTGTTCCCTACCCTACTCTCTTTTATTCTCACAGAATACTGAGCTGAGAGAGAGAGCAGACTGCGCATGCATCAGTAGGCAGCAAAGCCATGTGCTCACTTGTGATCTGCAGGATGGAGAGGGGAGGGCAATGAAATGCACAACTGAAAAAGCAAACTTTCTTTTAAGAAACAGAGCCCAGCATAGTAATATACTGAGGATGCTGTAATGCTTGGGAATTATTTTGGCAAAAGTCAATATAGGTGAACTAACCCTGTAGCCAACATGTATCTGTATTTATAAAGCTGGAATTTAAAGTGGAATATATGTATATATATATCTCAAACATGGCAAACAAAATACAATAAATGGCTATCAATTCTGGTTTGCTAATGCTATTCCTGCTATAATGATACTTCGGTAATTACTTCAATGCAGAATGTAACTATGGGCAAAATTCTTTGGTTCTGTAAAACTGTCAACTGTGGGTGTAGGATTATAACTTTTTTTTTTTCTATGGTTGAACTGAATGGACTTTTGTCTTTTTTCAGCCATACTAACTATGTAAAAATGCATTTGCTGTGTACAAGGTTTCCCCAAATTCCTTTTTTTTTTGTTTTTTTTTTTTAATATTTTTTTTTCTGTTGTGATCCGATTTCCTATTACCCTCTCTTGCTTACCCACTCATGGACTATGGGATGTGTAGTGTGCATAGGTCAGTGTACATGACCGCAACTAAAGCGCACTGCTCATTCCAAAAAAATGCAAGTTAGGAGGAAAAGGAGAGCTTGCGGAGCAAAAAAACACTGTAAGGAACAATTTCATGTAAAATAGATCACAGGCACAGGGCCATCAAGGCTCGGTTCACACTACTGCGATGTGACTTTGATGCCAATTACGGTGAAACTTTGCATATTCTATTGGGCCAGGTTGCACTGTAAATCGCAATATAGTAGTGCAGGAACCTTTTCCAAAATCATACCATGCTGAGTCGAAGTGATTAGGACAGGGACACTTGAGTGATACTGAGATTTCCCTTGTCATGCGACTTAGTTTGCATGAGAAGTAGCACTAGTGTGAACCAGTACTTAGTGGGTGTATGGATTATTTTTGGAGAATAAGGATATTGCCTAGTGCCGTGTCAATGTGCTTTATAGACCAAAAATGAATGATTTGTAAACTAATGTGTGGCCAGTCATTGGTGAGTCTACAAATAGACTCTTTATATACAAACCCTTGAGAGTTCAGGTGTACGTCCATCACTTCCTGCACACTGTTTCTTCACCTATATGAGCCAAAAGTGTATACAAACCCCTAAACCAAAATGTTATATATGCAGCTCACAAGTTCTAAGTTTTGATGGCTTTATTAGTTTTCTTTTTTTTTCTATTATTTTCACCTGGTGATCCTGTGAATAACATTTCGCTGACTAGGTCACACTTGAAGACCTCACGCACACAGCCACTTAGCAGCTCCAACATGCTGAGGTATAAAATCCCCAGCACCTTCTGTTGTCTAGTTATCCTTGTGTGCCACATACAACTGCCAATTCAAGTAAATGGCTGTACGCCAATGCAGAAGCCACTTTCGAGTTCAAGGAGAAGCACCTTATATGCATGCGTTGGTAAACACCAGTGCAAAAGCAAACAGCATTTACCCAAGCATGGCCATGTCCACCCATTCATTTGTATTTGTGGCTGTACATGGCACATGCAGCTCCTCAGGCACCAGAAAGCTTTAAAGCAGAAGAGAAAGTAGGCTATATATTTGCGTATGATAAGCAAGAAAGATCCCACATTTTCCATTAATCCTTATTATTGTTTCCACAACTGCAACCTATTTAGAGCATTTTTTGCCAGTGAAAAAATAGATCTTCAGACTGTACATTGTAGTTAGTACTGCAGACCAGGGGCGGACTGACCATTTCAAACTTGGGCACTGCCCGAGGGCCCGGGGTCAGTAGAGGGCCCCATGAGATGCCCCTGGTACCTTTTTCATAGGCTTTTTTGAGTTTGGGCAAGGACACAGGGACCCCATGATCCCCTATTACCCGGGGACCCCATGAGTTGTCAGTCCGCCCCTGCTGCAGACATATAAGGTGCTTGAATTTGAACATACTATACAAAGTATTCTACTTCCATCTGAGTCTTTATTTCCAGGAGCCATACAAATTCAATCAAAATTAGATCCAAATTAGATTCTTTCAAGAGATTTGTTGGGGAGCTTGCTGACTTCACTGTGCTGCTTGAAAGTGAACTGGTATCTTGTCCATTAGGCCACTCTTACAAGTCAGTAGTCCAAAAATATTAATAACTGGGTGGCACAAAAAATAGGTCTCACTCAACCAAATCGCGAGAGTGTCTGCTTCTATTATTTACCTAATTCTAAAGTGTTTAGCCTCGTATGAACTTCTTGGGTCTTTATCCTCCTGCCTGCTGTCAGGGTCTGTGCCATAGGTTCTCCTAACTTTTAATGACACAATATTGTCTATAAAAAGACAGTCTGGGAGGTTTTAGAACATTTAGACTTCGCACTGATGATTTTTTTTGCTTAGAGGTTTTTGCAGCAAAATAACAGAAATAAATGAGTACTGTCTGTGATACTTTTTTATTTGTACTAACATCCAAATTTTGAAGCTTTCAAGCTTTTGGGTGTACCCCTTACCAAGCACAACCTTCAGCACAATAAAAAAAAAAAGTTTGTTCTGATCCCACAAAATTGTTAATGCTACTTGATGTATATTGCTGTATACCGGTAATTAAAAGCAAATATTGCAACCTTTGTCTTCTAGGTGATGTAGAACTTA